AGGAGGCAAGAGGAGCAATTTTTGGCTGGAGAAGATTAAATGGAAGCAGTAGTAACAGTTTAAGGCAGTCAACTAAACTGCACGCCTAACAGTTGAAGGATATTGCTGAAAAGCTTTGTCACATGTTGTGTATTCCACAGGGAAGGCACATTAAAAATAAACAAACAAGTGATAGCAAATAACATTAAGAGCAGAAAGCGTCTGTCATCCTAGGGTTACGCTGCTCCCTTCCAGTTGTCTTGGAGACAAGAGCGTGAGAGAGGTTCTGACACCCTCACACTGGCGTACTCTGCAGGGTGAGATGCATCAGGCAGTACTGGTTTAAACTGATAAGGAGCTGAGTTCTCCTGTTTCAATTTAAACAGAGATGAATTGACATCCTTGGTACTTTGTGAGACTGCTCCATGAGGGATTATTTCAGGAATTTTTTACGAAGAAACAATAAGCAGCTTTTTGCCAACTAACTTATATAGGAAACAAGTAGCATGCAGGCTAGAAATGAAGATCAACTACTTAAAGAGTTTGCATGACTGTTTGTCTTGCTTCTTAAGTAGCAACAGAGAACCACTGATGGAAGATATGCTGGAAGTACCTACAGAACTGGTTGCATAGTCTACAGCAATGAAATTTGGAGGGGAATATTTTTGGATTTAAAAAGAGTAAAGACAAGGTGAGGAGTAAAGGAAAATTCGTATTGCAATTTAGCAAACACAAAATACAAAAAAATTGTTTCTGGAGGGGTAGTCTGAAAATTAATTTGCACAACTTATCAGAAGACTGTATATTGTGCAAGTCCACTCAAGAAGGATTCTTTGTGTAGATGAAAGTCCTTAAACTAGGTTTACACCATAAAGAAGAAAAACTGAAGTGTCTGTCTGTCCAGGTACTCAGAGCCATGGAGGTTTCTAGCACATGACAAGTACCAGCTGTGATAGAGTTAACAGCAGTGCCTCCATGGCTACAGCAGCACAGATTCTTGTAGTTGTCAACACTTACAGCTCAGAAAGATGAAGGTTACTAGTGACCAACTGCACGTTCTTATTCAGACTTCATACATCTTAAAGTATGAAGACTTTGGCGAAAGAGCAACATAGCTCTGAGCAGCTCTCCTCAAGTTCAATTGGAAGGAGTTGCAAGAATTGCTGTGAAGTGCTGTTAGCTGGCAGTGTCATGAATTGGCAGTGCTACTGGGAAGAAGTTTGTTATTTTACTCACCTGCGAACATTTTCACATAATGCAACAAAGAAACTATTGACTAAACTGCTAAACAGTGAAGAATTTCATAATGTATCCCATCATGAGAAAAAAGGTAGTGCATTGTAATTCAGAATACACTTGGCAAAGTGCCTGTTGCTGTTTGTCAGAGAAATAAATTCTGGCAGCACTTTAATTTTATTTTCATCTAGAGATACCTGTGCTACACATCTTGGTGTCATCTTGGAACAAGGAGTAGCATTTAATCTCTTACTGGTTATCAATATTGGGATGCCAGGCAGTTCAGAGTTCTACAGTTAAATACAAACTTTAAAGCTCACTGAGGTAAAGGTTTTCTCAAGTTGGTCTCTCTTTGCTTCTTTTCCACTTAATAAGAACACTGCAGTATGTTTGGTAAGACAATGAATGAAACCTAAGGTATTTATAATTCTTTTTTTTATATATATTTTGCACAGCATTGTGCAGTCTCTTTTTCTAATACCTGTTACTAGATAAGCAAAGCACTAAGAAGCTGTACTATAATTGGAAAACTAGGTAAACAGTCACCAGACATATTTGTCTTCCTATTTGTTTACCAAGCACTGAAAGAGTGTTCCTGAGTCTGTATCATTTCAGATTTCTGATGTGTGCTTTAGAAGTCTCCCATTGTTTACAGAAAGCAATAGCTATAGCAATTTTTTCCCCTTTCATAGAATGGTTTCACAGGGCAGTGTGAACTAGCTTTCACTTGATGAAGGAAAGTTCTGTCCACCAGCCTTTCAGTCAAGCACAAATATGATGCACCTGTCCATTAATTTCTTTCTTCATAATCCCCCCAGACCAGATGCAGCATGGGCTATTTAGGTTAGTGTTAGCAGTTATCAGTAGCAAGTTTCTTGAGCCTGGTTCATTTTGACTGACTCAAAGGAAGGAGAGAGTACTTAAGCATTTGTGTAGACACAGTTATCAAGATCTAAAGTGCATTAACCACCTACATGAAGGGGTGATCAGAGGCAGAAAAATCACGTGCAACCAGAAGAGTGTGTGCTTCAAAGTGAATGTTAAATTTTGTGTTCATAACATATGCAAACCAGTACCATTAATAAAGTAGATGCCAGTACAGAATGATCTTCAACTACTTTGCCTAATCCAGCTGAAAGCTGCATAACAAACTCAGCCTTTAAAACAATTATGAAGCACAGAGTAAATTGCCACCAAGATTAATTACATTTCCTGCATGCTGATGGTAACATGAGATTTGGCTGATCTCATTGTTAACAGCTCTCCATTCCTCATCGTTATGGCAAACTATCACCAGTGTTGCTCCTTCCTTCAGAAGCCTCTTCTCCTGCGCTGTCTACAATTATCTGATTATCTGATCAATGACCTGGTTTGGATTTGGCAGATGAGCGAGTCTCTGATTTGGCTTCATTTCATTTAGATCTACTAGACTGCCTTTTTTTTTTTTTTTTAATGTTTACCAGGATTGTTGATTATAAAACATTTTTTCTGCTGCATACATCAAGTTGTAGGTGGGGCTCCACCTGGACTGCTGGGGAATGGCACTGCTGGACTCTAGGGTTTGCAGTTGATCCCATGACAAGGTGAACAACACTTTCTATGGGAAACCTCATTGCCCAGATTTCTGCTGTGAAGCCCCAAATCTTTAATATGATTTGCAGCTCAAGTCTATAATGAAAACGTGGAAATGAGAACTAATATTAGAGCAAACTAGAGCTGAAGTGTTGCAGATTGCAGATTCTCCTGCTGCAAATACAGAACACAGAACCATGAAACTGCAATAAGAATCCAGGGAAAGTGTTTCTACCAAGGTGAATGAAGATGAAACTGCACAAGTGGTTCAGCAGCTAATCTTTGGTATAGCTCAACTATACCTCAACTAGGAGCCTATTTCACATTACTCAAAGCACACTGTCTGCCACAGAAGGCTTCTGTCTTTGCAGAAGTTTTGTGATGACAGAAGGAGGGGAAGTAGGAACCTGTTCTGACCACTTCACGTCTGGCTGTGGTTTTGGTGGGACAGGAGCAACCTTTAACAGCTAACATTTATACCAGGAACAAGTGATTGAAGAATCAAGGAACACAGTGCCCACATTGGAATGTGAAGATAGCTGCATTTCAAAACAAAACACAATAAGGAAATAACAATCAATCAATCAGGAATCATCACAGACCAAACTAATGAGAGTCACTGAAGCCCAGATTATATTTTCAAGCAGCACCAATCAGTAAATGTTTGTATGATAGCATATAACAATACATGTTGGTAATATAGTGTAGTTAAAAACAACAACAAAGATAAAAACACTAAAGAAAAACAACAGTAGAGATGCTTTTCATTCCAAACATGTAATTACCACACTGGCAAAATACATGATAGGAGCATTACCTTAAGAAGACCAGTGCTGCTGCTCATACAAGCACAGCAGTTTCCTTGCAGGTGCTAGACTGATGTGCAGTAGCTCCAGGAACCTATCAGTGTGACTGGTTATCAAAATCAATTCCCTCTGGAAAAAAAAAAAAAAAAAAAAAAGCAAAAATAAAGAATGTTTATAGCTTTTGTTACAAAGATTTCTGCTTTTAGGAATAATAGTTCATGTGTGCCATGCAGATGTTTTTCCATTCCTTCCTTGAATAGCAGGTTCATCACCAGAGTTGGTGCCTATCAACCTAGCTGGAGGGTCATTGGAGAGCTAACTGAGCCCTGCACGTAGGGCACCCAGTAGGAAAAATACCTCTGCCTATGAAGAACCAGTATGTTAGAAGTACTTCCTCACTACTTAGAGGCCAAAAGGGGTATTTGCTTAACGGCGTCTGGGAAGCAATGAGGCCCAAAGTCTTGTCCTGTTGGAAGCACACATTAAATGCAACAGAAAGTGACAAAGGAGCTGCTTCCTACTGTCTGCTATTGTTCAGCAATATCATTCTGCTTGGCACAGTTCGCATTTTCTTTTTCCCACACTCCTGCTCCGTAAGTCTACAACAGAACATTTTACATGTAAGGAGCAAAGAAATCAACTTCCTGTTCTCTGAACTGTGTACTCCACAGGAGTTGCAGTTTGGGGCAGTCTGTTGCATTTTTACTGGATCCCACACGTAACAGTGCTGACTCAATGCATTTCTCAGTTGTCACATGAGCAAGCCTCTGCAACAACTGCTGCTGGCTGCTGACTTGCAGGGCACTGTAGGGCTCATCTGGGCTGGTACTCGTGGAACGGCTGTAAAATCCAGAGGGTGGAGGCTACAGCTCAGGCCTCAGTACAGCCTGACTTCAGAAGAACTTACAGTCATGGCAGAAGGGCACTGCCAGAAGGTTATTTTATGTTGTTATTTGAGCTGTTAGCCACGGACGGAAGTTTCAGCTTCCAAATGAGAACTCATAATATTGAGTGAGCTCAGTGAACAGTCATAAGGACAAAATGATAAATGAGAATGTAGAAATGATTGCAGTCACTCTTTGGCTAATTAGCATGTGAAAATACAGTCTGGTTTCTGAAATGATTGGCACCACTTAGCTCCAAGAGGGCAACTGGAAGGATTATTTTTCTTTAGTGAAAGTATTTTGCATAGTAGCAGCCAACTGTATTCCCCAGGCATGCAAATTTTGGTTCACTAGACATATACTGTCTCACTTTCTGACCTTACCTGAATATTTCACTGGGTTTTCCACAAGCTAACAGCACAAGTCAAACTATTAAGGAGGCTTTTAAAGATGTAAGAAATATAGTACACACACATTCTTATATACAAATTCTTTATTAAAAATGCTTCTGGGATGGCCTGTAACAAAACTGTATCCATCCAGAGTTAAAAAAAAAAAAAGAAATCAAGACAAAGCAGTAGCTATTACAGTGCATTAATATGTTTTCCATCATTCTGGAAGTCTGATCAGTGCACAGCAGTGTAAAAGTAAATACCAGTAAAACGTGGTGCTTGCATATGTTGCAGGCTCTACAGTCTGAGGTATTATTTTACATAAGTATGAAACTTGATTCAATTATTGGTTTGAAAAAACTTCATTTATTTTAATTTTTGTTTGTGGTTACAGTAGAATATAAAAAAATAAGAATTATTCCTAGTATTTACACAATGACAAAACAATTGCATGGACTTTGTTACAAAAAGAAAGGAAATACGTAGTACAGAGACGTTTTCCACAAAATTTGACCCTGTACTCAGAATTTGAAACACAAAGATCCGATTGCACCAGCAGAAGGCAACTCCATGTTTTGTTATGCTTTGTTTCAGTTTCAAAATGAATGTTGTGTCCTTGATTATGCTAGCCTGCTTCACAACCACATTCCCCTTAGGGGTGAAACAGCATCAGAGTTGAGGCAACGTATGCTCTAGTGTTAGAGAAATTTAAAGAGGGCATTCACTCATCCCTGCTAGTTATTACTCACTATGTAGTTGTTTTTGCTGTAGATCCTTCAGTGTCTCGGAATAGCTTTGTCCAAATAAGAACATACCAAGAATCTCTAGTACAGACAGCCTGTATAAGCAAGAGAGGTAATTTACAGATGTAGCCAAATACATATTAGTGCTTTAAAAGCATCATGGCAAAGTTAGTACCTTGCCAGAAGGTTACATTCCTAAGGTGAACAGTAATTCCTCTCAAGGATCTCCATAGGGGCCATGGTTGGCAGCAGTACAGACACAACCTCCAGCAGACCTCTTCACTATTCTTGCTGTTAAAATCCCTCCATGTTTATATGGAGCTGCCAAATGTGGAGTGCTTGTGACTTGAGTAAGGGTAACAGCTAAAACGTTTGGGGCTGTCAGAAGGTAGGACACAATGCAGGTCCTAGAGATAACAGACTAAGAGTAATCATCCACCCACCGGTCACTCCCTCTCATAAATAGCTATATTTTGATGTCTTAAGATCTCTTATTTAAACCTCCGTCCCCTCCCTGGAAAACAGAGTGTTATTTGTGCTGATACTGCTGTAAAAATGGCTGTTAAACTGGTTGAGCACTGAGTTGCTATAGCCGAGGTGACTGGGAGGCATAGAATTGGACCACTCTCCCACACCATGACTGGGGACATTAGAGAGTGGAGAGTAGGAATTTAAGCCTACCATATTCTGTCCCATTTTGTCAGTGGGTTCAGCATTGAGTCCCAATGGCACTGAGCGGCCCACTGAATTAGAGCCGTTAACGTATGCAGTCATACTGGAAATGAAATTACTAAGGCACGGACTGCTGGAAGATGGAGGCGGAGATCCTTTATCGGGTGGATTGTCAGTCCCAGATGATGAGTTTTCCAAAAGATCCTGATGCTCTACAGCTTTGGGGCTGCCAGTCAAGGCACTGTCCTCGGATTTCTCAGATGTAAGATGGGCAGAACTAGCCCCAATATCTGATTTCCTTTTCCTCTTCCTGCGAAAGTTGCCATTGTCAAACATCTTCTCACAGTTTGGGTCCAGAGTCCAGTAATTCCCTTTTCCTGTCAAGGATGGACAAACACATTTTCACTTTTAATATATGCCTGCAGTCAGCAAAGAACAGTTTTCTTTGATTTTTCAATTTTATTTTCATAGAAACAGAAAATTTGCATGAGCAAAAAATACACGTTTTGTAACCACACAAAAGCACAAGTCTTCTTTTTTTGAAAAAATAATTTTTCCCATAAGTTTTTCCACATAAGTTTTCCCCCATGTCCTGCAGCCTTGACTCTACGCACAGCTAGAGCTACAACTGGAGCCTCTAGAAAGACTTGTTAGTTTTGCTTTTTGTTTTCCTTGGTGGGGAAATGAGGTTTTCACTAGATAACTGGTCCTCCAAATTTACAGCAATAAGTAATCAAATCCAACAATGGGCTGCTCCTGCAGATTCAGTGGAGTAGGACAGTTTACCAATGAGACAGAACCACATTTTTGGCTCTTTCTGGAAACACAATTGAGTGCCTTTAATGTCCCAAAAGGTTCTCAATGGCCACTGACAGGAAAAAAAAAAAAAGGAAGAAGAATCTGATGACATTTCACCAGTGGGTTGGAAACAGCCAAAGTGAGATTCCAAGCAAAACACTACTTGAAATAAAACAAAAGCAGCCTGCTCTCCTTGTGATAATTACTGTTGACTCCCTAAAGCTACTGGACTTCTGTGACTAGTCTGAATTTTCTTTATCCTCTTTCTATGAGTCCTCAGTTAAGTTTGATATAATTCATACACGTTACACCAAATGATTTCTGAATATGACTTCCTCAGGCTGCTCCTGTGCTTGGTTCTGAGGAAGATTTAGAGTGTTAAAGAATCTCTTTCTTTACAGAGATTTGATAAAGAATATTGAATCGGAACTCAGCTATGCATGCTTGCCTTCTAGTGCAGCCCTGTGAAAAAAGAGAAGCTACTATGTGTATTAGATTAATCACGTTTAAATAGAGAGGAGAAAGGTGGGGGGAAGGTATATATACCTGGATCATCTTCATCTCTAGGCACCTTCTTGAAGCAATCGTTGAGAGACAAGTTGTGCCGAATTGAGTTCTGCCAGCCAGCTTTGCTTTTGTTGTAAAATGGGAAGTTGTCAGCCACGTACTGGTAGATCTGACTGAGAGTCAACCTCTTTTCTGGTGCTCCATGGATAGCCATGGCAATAAGTGCAGAGTAGGAGTAAGGTGGTCTAACCAACTTCATAAGCTCTTCTTGGGATGGAAGAGGAAGCCAGCCAAGATCAGTTCCTCCCAAGCCGTGCATGTTAGGCAGGAGCTGCCTTTGCATCCCATAAGACTGAGGAATGAAGGGACTGGCATTGGATCCCGGGAGATACGGTGGTGGAGTAATGGAAGGTCCGTTTAGCCAGAGGTAAGGATTGGGTGTGCTGTTGTAGTCCGTTGCCTCAAAGGTGCTCGGTCGCTGCGGACTGGGAATATTCTGTGGATGGAAGAAGTTCTCATAGTAGATATTCATTTCTGGAGGCTCTTGACCAATATTTGGAAATTGTGGGCTGCAGCGTGGTGGAGAGTGCGTTTGTGGATCAAAGGAGCTCATGCTCTAACACAGGCAGCTGATAAGTTATGACACACCTGTGCTAGTGCTCCTTTCCTGAGACAGGTGCATCACCTGTGCCCTTCCCTACTTACTTATGCACCTGTAAGTGTTTTGGCTTGGACTGCAGGCTCCGCCCCATGGCCCTGAGTGGCTGCAGATTAGGATGATATCCCTTTTGGAATGCTGGCAGTCCCAGCCAGTCATTGATGTTACATCAACCAAACGTGAAATTTACAACTGTTTATCTTCTAAAATGAACAAAGGAATTTTCCACTAATGTGATGCACATAAAGAAAGCCTAAGGTACCTTGAAGTTACAACCCCTAATCAGACATCCACCTCTTTTTACCTTTTACACCAAAGATTTAGCATGTAGTTTTTGTTTCTTTTTAAATAAAAGCAGTTTTGTTCTCTTGCTGGTAACACTTCATAGAGCAAAACCTATTGTCATTTGTCAGTGAAACAGCAGGCATACTTTAAAAGAAAAGAAAAGAAAAAAGAAAGGAAAGGGGAAAGAAAAGGGAAAGAAAAGGGAAAGAAAAGGGAAAGAAAAGGG